GGATTCCTAGCACGGTCGGTCGGTCGGTCGGTCGGTCTGTCTGTCTGTCTATCTATCTATCTATCTATCTATCTATCTATCTATCATCTATCTACAGGCTAGATCTGACCTCTAGTGGCCAGTTGGAATATAATCTGTTGGTGAGTGAAGGTCTAGAATTTTGTGGCCCTGAGCTGGACTTCTCATTTTATCCCCAGTTGGTATTTGGGGGTAGAATATTCAGTGGGGTAAAGACCATTCTGGGCATGGTAGTATGCTGAGGAGCATCCCTGAACCCTCCTCACTCCACAGCAGGAACACCAGCTTTCCAGAGTAGTGATGCAGGCATTCTCTGGTTGAGGTCACTGGGTTAGCGTGAGATTACTGGATAATGAAGTCATGTTTCTGAATGAAGCTCAGTTGATACTCTTTATCAGGAATCATTGGCACAGTGGCTTTGAATTTAATATAATGTTTAAGGTTTTACTTATTTTTATTTTAATGTGGATGGGTATGTTGATGCATGTATATCTATACACCATGTACATGCCTCGTGCCAGCAGATGGCAGAAAAGGGCATCAGATCCTCTGGAACTGGAGTTATGGACAGTTGTGAGCTGTCATGTACATGCTGGGAACTGAACTGTCTCTTTTATGATAAAGCACAAAGGCGACCCTTGGCGGATTCCATGGCAGGTGAGGTTGACCAAGGCGGGGGACAAACATGCCAGACAGACAGAGCTTAAGTAAGAAGTTGTATTAGAAAGAGGAGGGAGGGGGAAGGAAAGATAAAAGAGATAAAGAGGCTCAGAGACATAGAGAGGACAGAAGAGAAGAGGGAGGCAGGAAAAGTTCTGTGTGTCCCAGTAGAACAGCAGGAAAGAGAATGGGAAAGAGCGTATGTGGGCAGGGGTCTTTCTTTTAAAGGGGTCCTTTGCACCTGTGTGCAGACTAGTAGTCACGAACCTCTGGGCTGACCAGAGTACTGCCTGAGTGGATTCTGCCAGGTGACAGAGGCAGGCCAGCATGATGTCTGAATCTAGTGCTACTGACCACTGAGCCATCTCTCCATCTCCTTTATTTTATTTTTATAGCATCCTATCGTGGTGCAGGCATACCTTAGACATCTTGTGGGCAATGCATTCAGGTCAATGTAGCATTTAATAAGTCACACAACAGTTTTGATTTTCTAGTGCATATAAAAGTTATATTGGGACTGGAGAGATGTTCAGTGGCTAAGAGAACTTGCTGCTCTTGCAGACGATTGGAGTTCAGTTCCCAGTATCCATACTGGCTCACAACTACCAGCAACTTCAGATTTAGTGGATCAGTTGCCTTCTTCTGGCCTTTGTGGGCACTGCACACACATGCATGCCCTCCCTTTAAACTAGTAAAAATAAATCTTTAAAAAGTCATGTTCACACTGTACTGCAGTCAATGTGCATTTGCAGATACCTTTTTTTAGAAACCTTTGTCTGTTAGATTTATTTAAAATACTTCTTTGAGCTGGGGGTTATAGTACATTGGTGGATTGCTTGTATAGCATGTTCCAGGTCTTGATTTCAACCTCCAATACCCTAACAATAAAATATAATAGAAATAAAAAATGGGAAAACAAAAGTTGATATCAGATGCTGCAAAAAATAATTAACCCGATGGTGGTCGCTCTCACCTTTAATCCCAGTATTTGGGAGGCAGAGACTGGTGAATCTGAGTTCCAGGCCATCTTGGTCTACAGAGGGAGTTCTACACAGATAAACCCTGTCTGGAAAAACCAAAATAAATTAATACATAAAGTAATAAGTAGTAGGTTCAGTCTCTCTCACTGCAGAAATGAGATGGAATGAAAAGTAGAGGAATGACTGACTCCACAGGACTACAAACATAAACTAAAACAGTGACTGCAACAGAGCAAAGGGCTCAGTAGCCGGTGCTGCAAAATTAAAATACAGTTAAAAAAAAAAAAAAAAAAGATAAAACAAAGACTCAGTTCCCAGTGCTGCAAAAGTAAAGTTTAATGCCCAGCACTACAAAAATAAAATAAAAATAAAACCTTTTCCTTTTTGCTAGAGAATCCAGCATGCAGCTTGAAGGGTTGCTCAAAGCAAAGTTGTTATAGATCTTCAATTTTAAAAAAAAATTAAGGGATTAGAGAGATGGCTCAGTTTTTGAAAGTACTGGCTATAAGTGGAAAATATACACATAAAATAATAATTATGATAATAAACATTAAAAATAAAGTCTTCAATAAAAAAACACACTCTGCCTATTGAATGTTTGATTCCACATTGTTCAGATGTGGATACCCCGTGTTAGTTGTGAGCCTGGTTATTTTTGTCAGGTTCATTTGTGACTGTACAGGAATTGTCTCAGTCCCACTAAAATGGATCTGAGGCTTAACAAATCAGCTGTTTTCTTCTTCACCTAAGAAGGCCATGGTACAAAATGAGGGGTGAAAAGATAATGTCCTGTGACTTCAGTTTGTAGCTCTTGATACGAGCATCTTGAGTGAGATGCTGAGATAGAAGGTTTGCTGGGAGTTCAAGGCTAGCCTGGGCTACATCTCCTCTTCTGTGATGTTCCCTGGGCCTTTGTGGTAAGAGTATAAATGTTCCAGGGAGGCCTGAGCACTCCACTATCTGGTGCCATATTTGAAACCTCTCAGCTTTAAAAGTCCAGTGTCGTGGGTGGTAGGTGAGGCTTCGGGTCAGTGTCATGTCCAGTTTGCAGTATTATCAGACACACCAAGGTACCAGAGTCTCAGAGTCCTTTCAGCCTGGCAGTAGTTTCTTCAGGGGTCTCCTTTGGGAGATAGAAAGACATACAATGATAAACACTATAATGGGAAAAGATTAGGAATGCTCTTTTTTTTTTTTTTTTTTTTTTTTTTTTTTTTTATCAAACCTAGGGTCTCATGCAAGCCAAGCATGAGCTGTACCTAGGGAACACTCTTATTTGACAAACAGGACAATGGTTAAGTGAGAGACAGATCACGCATTAACTGATACTTCGGGCCAGTGACTTTTCAGCAAAAGCATATGCCGAGGCCAGAGAGATGGCTTTTCCCAGGATGAGCCCCTGATAGGTTATATAGTCTAAGGTTGTCAGCCCTAGATACATGTACCTATGAACAACATTGAATGAACTCCATGCAATATGTGTGTGTACATATACATTTATATAATCTATGTCAATAATAATTGGCATAGGTTATATGTGTATATACACATTATGTGTGCCAAAATAAAGAAGAAAAGGTCTTGAGAGGGAGTGGATGCCATGGGAGGAGTTGGTGGGAATGATATAAATACAGTACTTATATATGAAATTTTCAGAAATATATATATATGTGTGTGTGTGTGTGTGTGTGTGTGTGTGTGTGTGTGTATATACCATTTGTAGTTGACAAGAGAAAATATGACTGTTAAGCAAGGACAAAAACCAAACCAAAACAGAAATTATGTTCTTCTTACAACTTTTAAAAAAAGAGTTTCTTTTTTTACTTCTGTGTATCTGTATGAGCATATATCATGTGTGTGCAGTTGCCTGCTGATGAGGGTGGATCTCATGGAGCTATTGTAAGAAGCCTAACCTGGGTCCTAGGAAACTAACTCAGATCTTAACCATATGTTTTAGGGAAGTACTTGGGCTGGAGAGGTGGCTCAGAGGTTAAGAGCACTGGCTACTCTTCCAAGAGGACCTGGGTTCAATTCCCAATAATCACATGGTGGCTCATAACCAGCTGTAATGAGATCTGGCATCTTCTTCAGTCCTGTACACATACTTGCAGACAGAACACTATACATAGAAAAAAAAAAAATCTCTTAACTTAAGGAAGTACTCAGTGGTTGTTTCCTATTTAACAGGTGTAGTATGCAGCTGGCTGGGTCATTGTCAGACTCCCATGGTTTATAAGCAAAAGTATTTACATTTTCCCCATATACTTTCTCTCTGCAGTTTTTAATGTGTCATCTCTTAGCATTTATTTTCTATGTCTCGTTAAGGGGCAGGGGGGCATCTGCCCACTGGGTGGTTATTTTCCTTGCACTAACCCCAGTGATAAAATTTATTGCCAAAAATGTTTTCTCTCCCAAGTTCCACAGTGCCCTCTATGCATAATGCATGTTTGAATGACAATGTAGGGCCTGGGATGATGGATCAGTTAGTGAAATGCTTGCCTTACAAGCTTGAGGAATTGAGTAACAAAAGAAATCTGGAGGCCAGAGAGATGGCTCAGTGATTAAAAATGCTTACTGTTCTTGCAGAGGACCTGAGTTCAGTTTCCAGCACCCATACCAAGTGGCTTACATCTGTCTGTAACTCCAGCTCTAGGAGATCTGACGACCTCTTCTGGACCCTGAGGGTATCTGCACTTGCAGGATATACCCTCACACATACACAAATACTTAAAAATAAAAACAGACCTAAAAGAAAAGCCCAGCATTGTGACCCATGCTTGTAATCCCAGCTAGGTGGTTCCCTGGATCTTGGTGACTAGTCAGCCTAGCCTACTCAGTGAGTTCCAGCATTGAGAGATACTGCTTTAAGGAAAAAAACAAAGATGGAGAGCACTTGAGGAACAACACTTAAGGTTGTCCTTTGGCCTGCTTGTGAAGCTGCACACATATGAACATGTACATGCATAAGCACACACAAACATCACAAACTGATTATGTGGGACTGTAGATTGTACCTGTGACACCTCCCCCAAATAGGTACACTCTTACATTCTTTCCAAATCTTGGTAACTCTGCCCCTGTTGGCCCATTCTTCAGAAAATTGGAAACCTTCAATCAAGCATATTGAGGAGATCTTGGGGGTGGCCCTGGAGCCAAGAACTCTCAGAGGGTGGGTGTGCCATCCTAGCCAGTGTCTCCGTCAAGGGCATCTATGTGGAAATCAGTCTGTGTCACCTGCTGTTCTTTCTCTTTCCTGCTAATTCATTAGGCATTACTTTCTCCAGTATCATTTTATTTTGAGATGGTGATGTCATAACTCCCACACATGTTCTCTTCCTCCAGGCCATCCCGAAAACGAAGATCCCTTGAAGAGGTGGGGAATGTGACAGCCACCATGCCTGCACTTCCAGATTTTCCCAACATCTCCTCCACCGTTGTGCCCACGAGTCAGGAGGAGCACAGGCCATTTGAGAAAGTGGTGAACAAGGAGTCACTTGTCATCTCTGGCCTGAGACACTTTACTGGCTACCGCATTGAGCTGCAAGCCTGCAACCAAGATTCCCCAGACGAGAGGTGCAGTGTTGCTGCCTACGTCAGTGCCCGGACCATGCCTGAAGGTGGGCTCACTTTCCTCTGGGCTTACACTTTACAAGGTTGGAGACCCACCTGGCCACAGACAAAGCCCTCTCTCCACCATACAGGATAGATGTGTTCTTAAAAGTGTTCTCTTTTATTGCTTTTGTTTTAAGATAGAGCTCTTTCTTTGTTACCTAGGTTGGTGTTGATCTCCTAGGCTTAAGGGGTCCTCCTGCCTACTCAGGTGTTTCTGAGCAGCTGGGAGTTGCCATTGTGTCTTAGTTTCTTTTCCTATAGTTGTGATAAAAGTCCTTTCTTGAAGCAAATTAAAGGAGAAAGGCGTTATCTTAGCTCATAATTCAAGGTACATTTCATTCTGGCTGGGGAGTCAGTGCAGAAGGAGGTTGAGGCAGCTGATTCCATCACATTCACACTCAGAAGAGGAGAACAGCAAGTACATATTGGTGCCAGGCTCCCTTTCTCCATTTGTACAGTCTAGATCCCGAGCAGGGAATGGTGCCACCTTAAATGGGTCTTCCCAGCTCACTTAACACAATTGAGATAATCCCTCACAGGCAAGCTCAGATTTCCATCTCTCACATGATTCTAGGTCCTGTCATATTGACAATTAACACTAAATATCACATACCATAGCCCAATATTTTCTGTGTGTGCATCTGTGTGTACTTGTACATGTGGAAGCCAAAAAAATCAACCTTGGACATCTGTTTTCAGGTGCCATCCTCTTTGGTTTTTTTAAGACAGGGTCTCTCATGGGCCTGATACTTGATTAGGTCTGGCTAGCTGGCTAGTGAGTTACAGGGACCTGCCTGTCTCTGTCTTCTCAACACTGGCATTATCAGAAAACTATGTTCCAGCTCTTTTATGTGGTTTCTGGGGATTGAATTTGGGTTTTATTGACTGAGCTATCTTCTTACTCCATGAGTTTTATATTATTTTCTGTTGAAGAAAATAAGACATGGAAAAATTACATAGCCAGCTCCAACTAGGTCTCTCAGCTGTTGGGTGGCAGGGATGGAATTTTATGCAAGAGTTAATATCTGAGCCCTTAATTGCTTCTCATAGCTAAGGCAGATGACATCGTTGGCCCTGTGACCCATGAAATCTTTGAGAACAATGTGGTACACTTGATGTGGCAAGAGCCAAAGGAGCCTAATGGTCTGATTGTGCTGTATGAAGTGAGCTACCGGCGTTATGGTGATGAGGTAAGGATTTCAGGTCTTGATGTTGTATGGTGCTATTCTGGGGGAGATGTGAACAAGTAGGGACCAAAGACAGATCAAAATCCAACTTGGTGAGCCAATGACTTTATTGGGGGCTCAGGGTTTACTCTATAAACATGGGGATGACTCAAGGGCAGATGCATCACCAGCTGCTCCCCCCACCCCCCATGGATGATAACTCATGAAATCCAGGACCCTGGAGATCTCTGCAGGACTTTTCAGGCAGCTCTCCCAGTCAATCTCCTCTCCTCAGAGACCTGCCTGTATAACCTTAGGGAAAGTGAGTCCTTGTGAATCCCAGAGGTTTCAGGGATTTCCTGATACTTGTGAGTTGTTAATTTCCTTATCCTTACAGAGCCTTCCTTTAGATTTTTTGGAGTCTCAAGGGACTTCCTTCCAGATTGGAATGTTAATTTGTCCTAAGTTGCTTCACAATCCTGGGCAGGAACTTTCTAAATTTATCAAGTTACCCAGTGCTTCCCACATCAGATGCTATGTTGTTAGAGTTCGAAGCTTTGATGTACTTCTTCCCAGGGAGGTAGACTGAAATGCCGATTTAGAATCTTTTGTCACTTAAATTTTTAAAATTTAAATTTATTTTCTGCGTATGAAGGCGTAGGGAAGTGTGTGGCCATGCCATAGCCAGCTCTGCTTGAGGAGGTCAGAGGACAGCTTCTGAGAGTGAGCTTGCTCCTTCCACTGTGTGGGTCCTGGGGATTGAACTCAGATCATCCGGCTTTGCTTTAGGCGCTGTCTTGCGGAGCCATCTTGCTGACCCAGTCTTTCATCATATTAGTGTGTGGGTTTTCAGCTGTGTCCCTCAGGCTGATTGATGGGCTGCTTACATTTGTGTCCTTTTTTCAGAGCATGAGGCTCATTCCACTTTAGAGAGAGATTCATCTCAGTCTGCGGACACATCACTTAAAACTGTTATGTTGCCTCCTTGCTACACCAGACACCGAGGGTTTGATGTGAGCAAGCAGAGATAGTAAGAAGCCGGTAGTCATATCTAAGTTACCTCTCTGGAGTGGGAGGGGAGGTGAGACATGCTGGGCTCTGTAGTCAGATAGAATGCAGCAAGCTTTATAGATTTGCAGATATGCTAACTTATTCATGTTTTATATATACATTGACTATATTCATAAGTTCTTCTGCCTCATGGTATCTCTCTGCCTATATAGCCTTTGTAATTAGAATTTACAATAGCTACCTAGGCAGAGAATATAATTTCATGATTGAACTATTATTTATTTTTAGGCACACTTAACTTTGCCCTTGTACCCTGAAGGCAACATGAACCCTATCTATGTAAATGTCATTGTGTGCCAATAAAACTTATAAAAACAGATGGTGGGCCATGTTTATCTCTGTGTGTGCCCTTAATATAGCAGAAATTTGAACTTTGAAACTTTGGTTTCAATGGAACTTTGAAAGTTCTAGTAAAGTAATAAATTCTCATAAGCAGATAGGACTCCTCTGAGGACCCTTTCCTCCTGGGACTGTATCTCTTTTTGCCACCCAAAGGTGGCACTTTAACAGTGACTCAGAACAAGGAGTCAGCAGCCTACGGCCCCCAGGACAGATCTGCAGCCTGGTCTTTTTCCCTTCGTTCCTTCATCCCCCTCTCCTCCCTCCCTCCTTCCTTCCCTTCCTATTTCCCTCCCTTCTTCCCTTCCTTTGTTGAGACTTATTTTTTTGTGTGTATACCGTGTGTGTGTGTGTGTGTGTGTGTGTGTGTGAATATGTACCACCTGTGTGCAGGTACCTGGATCTTCTGGATCTGGATTTATAGGTGGTTTTAAGCCTCCTAACATTGAAAACCAAACCTGGATCCTCTGGAAGAGCAACGAGTGCTCTAAACTGCTGAGCCATCTCTCCAGTCCCAGCTCTTTTACTTTTGATCAAGTTTTCCAGCTTATTCTCTCTCTCTCTCTCTCTCTCTCTCTCTCTCTCTCTCTCTCTCTCTCTCTCTCTCTCTCTCTCTCTGTGCATGTGGCATGTACCTGTGTGTCTGTTTGTCGTGTGTGTATGTCTATGTGTTGTGCATTTACGGAGAGCACGTACACTCAGATCTCCCCATTGCATTCTTACCTTGCTCTGCCCATGGAAGTGTCTGGTAATTCTCTAGCCTTAGAGATGGGTCTCCCCTCAAGCCCTCAGCTGCTATCCTGGGCTCCTGTAGTTGCATTTCTGTTCTTTTCTGCTTGATGACTCATTCATTTGGGAAGAGCTCTCCGCCCACCTAGCCCAGTTCATTTGTTTTCTCCTTGTTAATGTCACATGATGAGCTCGGGGTTCTTAACTTCTTTTTCTCTTCCATACCCAGCCTAGTTCTTGCTTGAAAGGTGAGTGATGGAATTGTTTGGAAAGTTTTGGAATTTTGGGTCTAGTGATCAAAGTCTTGACAAGTTTATTCCCCAGAGAGCCTGGCCTCACTCCTAATGATCCCTGGGTTTATCTCTGGCTGCATGCTCATCAGGGTTGTGTGCCCCCATTTTTTTTGAGACAGGGTTTCTCTGTGTAGCTTTGCAGACTAGGTTGGCCCCAAACTCACAGAGATCCACCTGCCTCTGCCTCTGCAGTGCTGGGATTAAAGGCGTGTGCCACCTTCTCTTTTCTCCCAGGAGCTGCACCTCTGTGTCTCCCGGAAGCATTTTGCCCTGGAGCGGGGCTGCAGGCTTCGAGGGCTCTCCCCAGGGAACTACAGTGTTCGAGTCCGGGCTACTTCCCTGGCAGGCAATGGCTCCTGGACAGAACCCACCTATTTTTATGTGACTGATTATTGTAAGTATCTGTAGCAACCTCAAGTGGCTAGATCTGTGCTTGGTGCTGTAGGAGTGGTAGAACATTTTCAAGAATGACCCCGAGGGAAGGAAGCGATGGGCGCTTTAACTTTGTGTCTACCAGAAACTGTAACATAACCAGGCCTTTCTACCAGCAATTCACATCCTCATCACCCACATAAAAATCTGGGCATGCCCATTTACACACTGTAACCCCTACTTGGGAAGACAGAGACAGGCAGATCCCTGGTGCTCATAGTTCAGCCAGTCTAGCCAACCTGTGAGATGTGTGTTCACTGAAAAGCCCTGCCTCCAGAAATAAGGAGAAGAGCAAGGAGGGGTATATCAGAGGGTTTGAAGTGGGGAAAGGGAGGGAGAAATAATGTAATCATATTGTTATCGTAATAAGGAGAGAAGTAGAAGTGACTCTGGCAGAGTTCCAGGCTAGCCTGATCTACATAGTGAGTTTCAGGCTAAGGGTCACATACTGAGATGTTGTCTCCCAAAAATAAAGAAAAGAAGCAACAAACAAACCAAAAAAAGATGGAACATAATAGAGGAAGACACTTGATGTAGATCTCTTGGCCTCCACAGGCCAGTAGTATACATGTACGTACACACACACACACACACACACACACAGTATATACTTACTTTAATGCCATAAATCATTGGGGTGTGTATGATTAAGATACATTGTATATATGTCTAAATTTGTCAAATAATACAAATTAAAATTTGAATTTTTATGATTTTTCAGAATGCTCTGTTTTGATTCTGGCCTCCCTTCTCTTAAAGAAGAAGAGAGGAGGCAGGGACACAAAGCTTGTAACCAGACCACTTTCATATCCTAAGTTTCATTCAGCCACCCATATTTACACATATATCCTATGGGCTGGGAGCCAGCAAGTGCAGGGAAACGGGGAAGCTCAAGGAGGGATTTCTCAGGACAGAACTGGTGACAGAGGTCATGATGAAATGATAGCCAAGACTTGACACACGAGCTGGGAGATGGCTTGGTCAATAAAGGGCTTGCATTGACCAGCAAGCTCCAGGGGTTTGCCTCCCCTATATTTGAATACAAGTATATAGCACCATGACCTGGTTTCTCACATGGTTTTCTGTGGCACTGTAACTCAGGTCCTCATGTTTACAGAGCAAGCATTCTATTGAATGAGCGAGCCACCTCCCACTAATTTGTCCTTTCAACTACATGTGCATTATAACAAACAAACGAAATCGAGTCCTCAGGTGTAGGGTCATTTCCTGAAATAGAGTAGCTCCTCATTGGCCGTGTCCCAGGAAAAAACTGACTGTTCCTTCCTCTCCTAGCAGCCATCAGTTGCCATGGTTCCCACATGCTGTGAGCTCATGTCTTGCTTGGAAATAGCCTAGGATTTTGCTTCCTAGCCCAGGGTGGTCTTGAACTCATGATCCTCCTGTGTCAGCTCCCACCCCAACTCCAGGTGTAACTTTTGCTGTCAATACATTTTGATGCTAAACACTTACCTTCTTCTGTTGCAGTAGATGTCCCATCAAACATTGCCAAAATTATCATTGGGCCTCTCATCTTTGTCTTCCTCTTCAGTGTTGTGATTGGAAGTATTTATCTGTTCCTGAGAAAGAGGTAAGCAAGGTGGTGTGCTGGCAACTGACTCTCTTGGGATAAAACAAATGAACAACATAAATATTGAGTTAGACAGAGCTAAGTTTCTTATAAGTTTGACTCATACAGCTGTACTACATGCAACTCATGGTAGTAAGTTTACTGTGTAATACTATAATATACTCTTGATTACAAATTCCCTCTAGTTTGCTGATTCTCCCTGCATGCTTCTATTAATATATTTTAACCCAGAGCTTAATATCTGCAGAATCATAACTGATGAGGAAGTATAATCCAAACATGACCTGGCTACAGGAGTACAAGGCCATTTGTTCACAGTCCATAGAATCCAGGGAACAGAGAGAGAACAGAGAGTGGGCCTGGGCTGCCAAACTTCAAAGCACACTTCCTCATCAAGGCTCCACCTCCTAAAAGTTCTATAACCTTCCAAAACAGTTCCATGGAAGGGTCGAGTGCTCATACATTTCATGTTTGATCATTTCATATTCACATCAATGAAGCGTAAACATTGGTTAGTTTGTTTTTTGTTTTACTGTTTTAGATAGCTTATAGAATGATGGGTTTCATTATGATGTTTTTACACAGATATATCACTGTATTTCCTTATATATACCCTCCCTTGCTTCTCTCACATATATATGACACACACATACACACATACACACACACATGCACGCATGCACACACACTCTCACACACATATATATAATTTACATGTATATGAAAGAAATTACACACATTTTTTCTTTATCCAATTATCCTCTTGTTCTACCATCTCCCCTCCCTTTGAGCCTCTTCCCCCCTCTTCCTAATTCCCTGTTTACTGTTATGTAATTTATAGCTATCTTTGTCTTTCTGAGTCTGGATTATTTTGCTTAACCTGATGATGTTCATTTCTGTCTTTGCTCTGTCTTTCTCAGGCAGGGTCTTGGCATATAGCCAAGGTTGCCCTTGAACTTGTGATCTTCCTGCCTCAGCCTCCCAAATGCTAGGATTACAGATGTGCTCCCCCCAACTACATATATACAGTAGCTTCATTCCTCCCTTGCATTAAAGAGTAAGACAAAAATTAAGTGAGACATACACATTTGAAAACTACAAGCAATAACTTTGTCAAATCAGGTAATTTTAAAAGGGTTTTTTTTTTTTTTTTTTTTTTTGTGTGTCATTTATCATGTCATCATTGCAGAACTGACACTTTTTTAAATTCAGTCTGCTTTATTGTTCTAGGTTCCTTTCTGTTGCTATGATAAAACACTCTTACCAAAAGCAACCTGGAGAAGACAGGTTTATTTTCGTTTACACTTACATATCACAGACAGGGCAGGTGCTTAAGCAGGAACTTGAAGCAGAAACCGTGGAGGAAGGTTTGCTTGCTGTTTCACTGACTCCTGCTCAGCTTGCTTTCTCATATAGCCCAAGACTACCAGCCTAGGGGTGGTGCCATCTGCAGAAGGCTGGGCCCTCCTGTGTTACTATTTAACAAAACATACCCTCTTCGACATATCCACAGACTAACCTGATCTAGGCACTTCCTCAATTGAGGCATCTCCTCTTAGGTGACTCTAGATTGTGTCAGGTTGACAATAAATGCTAACCTGGACACTGATTAACATTTTTTTCTCTCACTTTCTCTAAGTTGGACAAAATGTAGAACAATGAATCTGTTCATGATGCTTAGTGTTTGCCTATTTCTAGTGTCCAGAATGTCATAGCATGCTCAGGCTGGTGTGTCTGTCTTTTCCTCCTCTAGGCAGCCAGATGGGCCAATGGGACCATTGTATGCATCTTCAAACCCTGAGTACCTCAGTGCCAGTGATGGTGAGCACCACTTCCTTTTTTGTGGGAAGTCAGAACCCTGACCTGTGTTTCCTATGCCAAACTGTTAAGTCAGATCTGAGGGTTGCCTAGCATCATAGGGATGAAGAGAAACCATCCCAGAGAGACTGGGAGAAGCCCCCTTGAGTGCCGAACTTGCCCATCAGCTCTTGCTGCAGAGACCTGGCTGCTTGGGATGTTTAGGTCTGTTATCTGGATCTGCTTGGGCGGGTTGATATCACTCACTTGGGACCTTCAGGTTGGAATGTGAGGTTAAAAACCTTGTGCCACAGCCATAAGAGTGTGGCAAAGTCAGGGCCAGAAACCATGATGAAATCTGTCATTCTTGCTGAGAAGGTGGGAATTAGAAGCCATGATAGGATACTGAGGGACGAGAAGGGGAGATAAGAACATCAGGAAATAGCTCAGTGGGTAAAATGTTACTGCCCACACCTGAGGGCTGAGTATGGCCCATAGTGTCTGTTTAAAGTCTGGGTGCTATGTTATGTACCTGTCATTTCTGAACCAGGAAAGCAGAGATATGGGAATCAATAGCAAGACACCCTGGCTTAATCTGTGAGCTCTAGGTTCTGTGAGAGATCTTGCCTTAAAAAAGAATGTAGCGAATGATTCAGGAGGGCACCTGATGTCACCCTCAGCCTTTCATGTGCATGCGTACATATGTGTACTTGCACATGAATGCACGCACATACAATTGTGCATATATACATGTGCACACAGACAGACAGAGGTGAAAATAGGATGGGGCTGGGTGTGTCTAGCTGGTGGTAGTGTGAACTGATGTTGATGGTGGGAACACAACATTGACACTCACACTACTCCTAACTGTTCTTAAGGACAGTGAGTGGCCTCTAGAGAGAAGGCATGCCTATTTCTCAAGAATTCCATAATATGGCACGTTTTCCTCGAAGTTCCTCATGTAATACAGTCTAAATTTGACTTTCAAGTCATGAATGTATTGGGTCTGTAGGTTGTTACCTTGGATGGACCCACTCACTTGTGTTTTCATTAGCAGTCTTGGTGGTACCTAGGAGCAGCCACAGCTACTGCTGGCTAAATCATTCCTTCTGTGTGGTCTCTTGTCTGGTGCCCTTCCCTACCATGCTCTGTGGGTTCCTAACAGTAAATGTGTACTACAAGGTGTCTTCTTGTTGAGTTCTCTGGAGAGAAGAGAATCAGAAGGCTATGAAGGAGTCCAGGGATCAGGAACAGACAATCTACCAAGAAGGATTGCTAAGAATCTAGGAGGGATTGCTAAGCATTGTAGACATTTTTTTTCCCCCCAGTCTGTTTTAACCTACCCACCATTCCATTGGCACTTGGTCAAACATCTCTAATGGGAAGTGTCTAAATTAGTCTTTGCTGTGACAGAAGGCTTGACAAAGGCAACTTAAGGGAGGAAGGGTCCTTTTTGGCTCACAGTTTGAGGGTGCCGTTCCTTATGGAGCAGAAGTCTTGGCAACTGGTCACATTGCATCTAGAGTTGGGAAGCAGAGAGTGGTAAATGCTCCTGTTTAGCTCCATTTCACCTTTTTGATTTGGTCCAGAATTCCACCCTGTGGGATGATCTGTCACATTTAGGGTGGGTCTTTATACTTAAACTTATCTAAAAGTTTCTTCCATAGACATTTGCCAAGGCTTTGTCTCCTAGGTGAGTCTAGATTCTACAGCATTCATAGTATTAACCATCACAGGAAGAGACTTTATCCAGTAGTAAGGATATGGAGTCAAGGCAGGAAAGATAGGGATACAGGTCCATTTTTGTGCTTCCTAAGCAGGATCCTAGACTAGCTGTAGCTCATTTCCTAGCTTCTGCCATCTCCTTGATGGTGGCTCAAGCTTGTCCTGTACTGGATTGTATACCCAATGCTTAGTAGAAGTGTTGAGTCACAGAATGAGTGAATATTTGTATGTAGCTCAAGGAAAGTTATGGTGGGAGGTGTCTAGGGGGTCTCTTAAGGGGTTGGCTGAGAATGCTGTGTAGATAAGTGAAAAGTAGTGTTTCCTTCTTCTGTGTACGTGCCGGATGAGTGGGAGGTGCCTCGAGAGAAGATCACCCTCCTACGAGAGCTGGGGCAGGGATCCTTTGGTATGGTGTATGAGGGCAATGCCAAGGATATCATCAAAGGCGAGGCAGAGACCCGAGTTGCTGTGAAGACTGTCAATGAGTCAGCCAGTCTCCGAGAACGGATCGAGTTCCTCAACGAGGCATCAGTCATGAAGGGATTCACCTGCCATCATGTGGTGAGTGTGGCTGGGGTGGGGCAGAGGCTTCCTTTTATGCTCCTTGTTAACTTGCCTCTACCCTCTAGAGCTGCCCAGGAACCTGGGTGCAGACTGATGCTCACCCTCCATCCTGTTAAGAAACCTATCCTGAAGATGTTGGGAAGTGACATCTCCCTTCTCCACCATATCTTTTCCCAGCTTACCTAGAATCAAACTCTATAACTGTTCTGTCACTTTCTAGAATCTTCCTTTGCTTCTCAGACTTTCCCATTGATTTTTGTATTGTTACATCTATTTCTTCTTCTTGGCTTCCCTGTAACCCTTAACCAATGAAAGGCCACCCCTTTGTACCTGCCCCCATTCTTGTTTCTCCCCGAAGCCAAAAGTTAACTTTCCCTGCCTTTCTGATCCCAGAGTGGGCTCTTTATTTTTTGTTGAGCCTTGTATTCTTTTATCCTGATCAGGCATATTTAGGGGCCCCTTTTATATGACCTCTGCTGCAGTACAAAATTTACCGATGAGTTTATTATAACCTGGAACAGTATGGGTTTACTTATAGGAGCATAGACAATTTGCATAGGTAGCTGCAGCTCCAAAAACTCACTCTAGCATGAGTGATAAATCATGAAAACTGGAATCTCAGGGCTCTCTGCACAACTTGCAGGTATTCAGAGAGATTGAGAATCTATTCTTTGTAGAGCTTTTACTATTTATATAAGCTTGGAAAGGGGAGGCAGTAGTTGTCTTGTGAATCTTACAAGTTTTAGGAACTTTCTTAGACTTTTCAATTGTTTTACTTCCTCAGTCTTAAGCTTCCCTCCAGGATGGAATGCTTCAGTTCAGAAGAAATTGCAGTGTATCAGCTCCTACATGCCCTGCTCTTGCTGATGTTGAAGCAGGTTCCTGGTCTCCCTCTTAGATATTCTATTGCAGGGAAGACAGTTCTCAAACTAGATGTGTGAATGGCATGTTAGGGGGAAAATGCTAGCATAGATTAAAAAAGAGAGAGGAAGAGGATTGTGGTGCATATTTGAGCAAAGTCTTAAAGGATGTGAGACTGAACCATGTGTACAGGCCAGGGAAAGCAAGAGCTGCAAAGATCTGGAGGTAAGAACATGGTTCATACACTAAGGAACATCAAGTGGGTGAGATTTTCTTGGGATGCTTTATACATGAGTGGGTCTGTTTGCTTCTCTATACCAGGGTTGGCCATGCTTCATCCAGGCATGGAGTAGCCTATGTGCTTTGGGCACCAGACGGAGAGTCCATGGTGAGCTGAAATAATACCTGGACCCTCTTTGAATCACCTTTATGTTTCTCTGCAGGTCCGCCTCCTTGGAGTGGTGTCCAAGGGCCAGCCAACACTGGTAGTGATGGAATTGATGGCTCATGGAGACCTCAAGAGTCACCTCCGTTCTCTGCGACCAGATGCTGAGGTGAGCTGCCTCTAGGTTCCTAGCAGGGCACCTGCTCTTAAGGGTACCAACCTCTCTAAGTACAAACCCATATTTTGACTTTGTAACCTGGGCTACCCTCCCCTTACCCTGCAAGAGGTGATTTAGATAGCAACAGAGAGCTAATTGTAACCCATGTTTTGACTTTAGAATAACCCAGGCCGTCCTCCTCCTACCTTGCAAGAAATGATTCAGATGACAGCAGAAATTGCTGATGGCATGGCATACTTGAATGCTAAGAAGTTTGTGCACCGGGACCTGGCAGCTCGGAACTGCATGGTTGCTCATGATTTTACCGTCAAAATTGGAGGTATGTCTTGGAATCCTTTAGTGAATGAGTGTGTGTGTGTATGCATGTGTGTGTGTGTGCATGCACATGCACATGTGTGTGTTATAGGGTGTGGGTAGAATGGCAGGTTCTGGGGTTCAGAACTCAGGTCCTCATGCTAATTGAAAAGTACTTTTACCTACTTCTGGGTACTTTTCTAGCCCAGAGGTCAACATTTCTGTTCTAGTTTCCTGTCTGCTTCTATCATAAGTAAGTAAGTAAATAAGTAAAACAACGTGGGGAGGAAGGAGTTTGTTTCAGCTTGTTGTTCGTCACTGAGGGAAGTCAGGACAGGAACTTGAAGCAGAAACCATGGAAGAATGGTGTTTGTTGGTTTTCTGTGGCTCATGCTTTGCTGGCTTTCACATATAGGTCAGGAGTGTCTGCCAAAGAAATGTGCTGTCCACAGTGGGATGGGCCCTCCTAAATCAGTGAACAATCAAGACAGTCCCCTGTAGACATACCCAGAGGCTAATCTGGTCTAGGTGATTCTTTAATGGAAGCTTTCCTCTCAGGTGACTCCAGCCTGTTTGGAGGATAGTTAATACTTCCTACTACAGGACTGAAGGTCGATCCCAAGAATGCAGAAGAAGGAGATAGTAGAAGCAGATGCCAAGTGCCTAGGTGTTGGGCTGGGGTGTGTGGATAGGATGGGAGAGCCCAGGGCATGAGATAAGATGCTGAGCTGAAAACCAAGAAGCAGGCATGGAAGCTTCTTAACTCATAGCACTTGCTTCTCCTCTACAAAACCAGTGAGAATCAGGAAGAGGCAAGGTCCCATAAAGATTTCACAAGACCCCTCCCCCGAAACATTAATTATGGGAACAGGTAGGGAGGTGAACCTATGTGTGATTCCAAGAGATATTCTACATAAGAATGGGAGTCATGCAAGAATGTGACCCAATTATCCTGCTTGAACTATATAAAGGAAGATGGGACATGATTCTGTATTTATGATCCTAAAGACCTTCTACATTAACACCCCCCCCAACCTGGGTGTGGTGATGCTTGTTTCCTGACACTTGGGGAGGTAGAGGTAGGAAGATCACTGTCATTCTCCGAGACATAGCAAATCCAAGGCTATCCTGGAATAGATGGGATTGTCTGAAAAAGCAAGAGATATAAGCAATGGGTATAGGAAGGGCCATGATTCTATTCACATAGCCACTCTGTGTAGTGGGATGTTACCATGTTGGAAGATGCACAGGAGAGAGTGGAGATGAGCCTGGATTGTGCAAAGGTAATGAGAAGTGAGACACATTGGACAGAGATGTAGAGGCAGAAAGGCTTGGTCGAGTACTGTTTGAGAGTGTGAGACAAAGGCAGGGTTAAAAGAAGAACCTGAGCTTTTGGTTTTTGGGTGAGTAGCTAAATCAAGGAAGCAGCAGGTTGGCTGGAAAAAGGGAAAAGGTCTGCTTGGGACACTGGGGAAGGAGTAGGTATGAAGGGTAAATTGATGAGAGTTTCAGGCCAGATTGTTGTTTCTTTATCACTGGGTACCTCTTTTCCCCTTCCTTTACATGGTAGCCCCTGTTCTCCAGCCACAGCCTCAGGTACAGCCCTATAATCCCATCTTGGTGAATTTGCCTACTCCCTCTAGTGGTGTTGTATGGAGTGGAGCACTCGAGATGCTAGATTGATGAACTGAAAAACATGTGAAATGTTTGTTGTCAGACTTTGGAATGACAAGGGATATCTACGAGACAGATTACTATCGGAAAGGGGGCAAGGGCCTGCTGCCTGTGCGGTGGATGTCACCCGAGTCCCTGAAGGATGGAGTCTTTACTGCTTCTTCTGATATGTGGTGAGTCACGCATGCATGGATGGATGTCTGTACTGGGTTTGGACTCCTGTAGGAGTCCTACTAATGTGTTCAGGAGGAGGTGCTGGAATGAATGTGGTTCCTTACATGTCTATCCTTATATACTGATTGAGAATGGTTTAAGAAAAATTTATTTTTGTATTATAAAATAAACTAGTGTGTGTGTGTGTGTGTGTGTGTTTATTTGCATACTGTAAGGAGTCTTTCTTTATCCCGCTAGCCAGCTCACAAATAATGACTCAGAGAGCTCAGCCTATAGCTTAGGCTTGTTCCTACCTAGCTCTAATAACTTAAATTAACCCACTTAAATTAATCTACATTCTATCACATACATTACCTCTCTTCCATCTTTTACCTCCTGTTTCCTCTCTGTCTCCTGCCTCTTGATTCCTCCTCCTCTTCCTTTCTCTTCCCAGAAATCCTGCCTATGCCTCCCACCTAGCTATTGGCTGTTCAGCTCTTTATTAAACCAATCACAGCATTATATCTTTACACAGTGTACAACTATCCCACAACAGTGCATGCACATGTGTAAATGTGGAAGGCAGATGACAGCTTGGGCATAGTTCCTCCTCAGCTGCCGTGCTTTATTTTTCAAAACAAAGTCTCTCACTGGCCTGAAATTTGCTAAGTCAGCCAGGTTTAGGGGCCAGAGATCTTGGGATCCTCCTGTCTCTGTCTCCCCTGTGTTGGGATTACAAGTGCTCACCCCCAGCCCCAGCTTCCCCCACTCCCCATTTTCATGTGTATATGTGTGTATGATTGTTTGCTTGTGTGTACACACCAAGTGCGCACTCGTGTGTGTTCATGCATGTAGAGGTCTCAGGTTGATATTGAGAATCATCGTTGACTGCTCTTCTGCTTTATCCACTGAGGCAGGATCTCTTGTCAAACCCTTGTCTGAGACTGAAACTACAGCCAGGTTACTGTGCCACCTGGGGATTTGAACTTCCATCCTCAGACTTGTGGGGGAAGCTCATGAGCCACCGGGTCATCTCCCCAGCTAGCTCTGCTTTTACACACACACACACACACACACACACACACACACACACACACACACACACGAACATGGATAGGTATGTGTGTGTGTTTCTATTGGGGGAGACATGACACAGCACACATGTGGAAGTCAAAGGACAACTTATGGGAGTCAGTTCTCTCCTTCTACCATATGGGTCCTTGGGATCTAACTTGGGTCATTGGGGCTTGGCAGCAAGAGCCTTTGCCCACTGAGATACATTGCTGGCCTGGCCTGTGTATTCAGCTCTTTATATGGGTTTTGGGAATCATGTTTTTGTGCAAAGCACTTTGACAACTGAGCTATTGCTTCAGTCTGTCAGTTGTTTTATTAGTTGAGAGAGAGATGGCGTGTGTGTTTCATTGGCTTCTTTGCCAACTTCTCTCAATTGTCATTGACAGGTCCTTTGGTGTGGTCCTTTGGGAAATCACCAGCCTGGCTGAACAGCCTTACCAAGGCCTGTCAAACGAACAGGTGTTGAAATTTGTCATGGATGGAGGCTATTTGGATCCACCTGATAACTGTCCAGAGAGACTGTAAGTATAGAGAAGATGTTTGACCTTAATACATGTTTTGTGTCTGCATATCCCATGTATATATGTGTGGATTAGGTTTGCAGGCCTTATGGCCACATGTATGTTTGTATAGCATGCCTTGTGTTTGCATATTGCATTTTGGATGCATATTACATTTTTAGATGTGCCTACATATCTGCTTATGTTTGCATACATTTATGCCTCTGCATGTGTCATGCAGTAACATGTATATATTTCCATAAATTTTTAATCTTATGTATATGAGTGTTTTCCTGTATGTATGTATGTGCATAACTTACACACCTGGTGTCCAAGGAAACCCGAAGAGGGTGTTACATCCCCTGGACAGAGTTACAGGTCATCTTCAAGAGGAGAAGTGCTTTTTTTTTTTTTAAATGTACTTGTACATACATGTGTGGAGGCCAGAGGACCACCTTGGGGGTCACCCTCAGAAGTATCATTCACCTGCACTGAGACGTAGCCTTACATTGGTGATCCTCTCAATGACTCAGGACCCTCCTACTTCCACCCCACACCTGGGATTGTAAGTGTAGACATTTTTTAGGTAGGTTCTGAGGACCCAACTTAGACTCGAGGGGCAAAACACTTTACTGACCCAGCCATCTCCCAACCTCGCATATAACCATATTTGTGTTTGTGTCTGTGTTTTCATGTACATGCTTGCATTTGTCTTGTATTTCTAGTTTTCTCTTCCCAGTCAAACTTTTCTGGTCATTGCCTTATCAAGGCTCTTTCCTAACCACACCAGTTTGTCACTGGTACAGAAGTGGGGAGGTACCTGTGGTTCGTTTTAAAAGTCAACTTGACACAATCTAGAATAGTGTTGGAGGAGAATATCACTGACAGTTTGCTGGGTAACACAGGCCTGTTGGCATGTCTGTGGGGGCCTTGTTTTATGTTAATTGATGTCACCTATCACCCCACTATTTGTGGCACCATTTTTTTTTTAGGACCTGAACTGTATTATGCAGAGAAACAAAGCTAAACAAGCATGCACACACACTCATTTTATATCTTCTCTTGACAGTGCATGCGATGGAACTAGCTGTTTTAAATTCCCGCTGCCTTCATTTCCCTACTCTGATGGACTGCAGCCTTGAATTGGGAGCTAAAATTAACCCATCTCCCCAGGTGTCTTTTATTGGGACATTTTGTCATCATAGCAACTGGAAAGGAAGCTTAGCCCTAGGAGAGGTTCACAACCTTTCCCTAAAGGCTGTGTGATAAACATTGACAGCATGATGGCCCTGTGCAGTTGTTGCTTGAATACAGTCATAGGCATTGCACAGATGCATGGATGGGACCATGTGCGTGTGTTAGCTGTTACTACTAGGAAATACCTGAGGAGTTCAGGTCAAAGAAAGACTTACTGTGACTCACAGTTTCAGTCTCAATCCATGCTCACTCAGCTGCTTAGAGCTCTGGTGAGGCAGAAGATCAAGGGGTAGGAAGAGAGCGGGACTGAGGCTAGAGGTAAAATATACCCCAGAGATATACATTCCTCCAGTGACCTACTTCCTCCAACAAAGCCCTTCCTCTTTAGAGTTCTCTTACTCCATTGATGGTTTCATCCAGTCACTGGCTTAGTACCTTACCGATCCAATCACTTCCCCAGAGCTCTACCTCAAAACATTGTTGCATCAACAGCTCAGTACTAGGAGGGCATCTAAGAATCAGCACAAAATCTCGTGACAATAAAACTTTATAAACACATGCAGGGTAGCAGATTTGATTCAAGGTCTAAAATTTGCTCCAGAGCAAGTTACATGGGAAAAAGGAGAAGGTCTAATGAAGATGCAAGCCCTTTGCTCCTGTTAGAGTGCTTTGGGCTGAGTAAAGGAGAAGCCTGGGGCTCTTGGGGGAACCTGTTAGGACAAGGATTTGGCTCTTGTATGATGTTAGGCACTAGTGTACCTCAGTCCTACAAATACTGCATAGCCCACCAGGCTGGTTCTATGACTAAGGAAGGCTCCTTTTAACATTTTCTTTTGACATATGAGAAACTGGCTATCTGTGTTCAGCTCATATAGCTGTAAATGCTAAGGATCAATGATACTAGCCCTGAAGTGTCCGTAAGCCTAGAATGACTGTGAGGCATGGCCAGGCCTTAGCAAGCAGCTCCAGGCAGGACTGAAACACAACATTTCTGAGGCACAGAAGATTGGGGATGTGTAAGGTGTCTGTCCAGTTTCTGTTTTATCTCTGTTACCATGGTAAAACCTGATCAAAAGAAATTTAGGGGAGGAAGGACTTATTTGGATCACTGGTGGGGAAGTCAAAGTAGGAAGCAGCTAGTCACGTCACATCCGCTGTCAAGAGCAGAGAGAGATGAGTGTGGTCTCTGCTTGTTTGCTCTCAGCTTGCTTTTCACATTCTCATGAAATTTGGGAGCCCCTGCCCAGGGTGTAGTGTTATCCACAAAGAGCCAAGTCTTCCAGCATCACCTGACAATCAAGACAACCCCCGTGGGCATGTGTACAGCCCATCCAAACTTTTATCAGTTGGGGTTCTCTCCACAGTTGATAGCTTCTTGGGCTCCATGATGTTGTTTTCTCCTTAGCCCTTTCCTCTTTCCACCCCATTCCTTCCTTTCCCTATCTTTTCCTTCCCTTTCCGTTTCCCCTTCTCTTTTCCTTTGTACCCCCCTTCCTCTACTGAGCACCATCCCTCTTTGTGTTTTAGTTTAGAGGCACTGGCCTCAACTAAGTTGCCAGGTCTGAAAGTCTAACCTGGCAGCCTTGAATTTTTAGTCATTCCACTCTAGCCTCCCAAGTTGCTGGGATGACAGGCCTGCACTACCAAAGTTTTCTAGCTTTTCTAAAGTGTCTTCCAGTCCCACTGGTTGTCAGTCCAGCTACAGCCAACGTGACGACTCTTACTACTTGGATAATGGGGCTGGGTAGGAGGGAGCTGCTTGGCTGAACATCGAGTCTCATCCACGCTGGTTCATGTCCCCACAGGACTGACCTGATGCGCATGTGCTGGCAGTTCAACCCCAAGATGAGGCCAACCTTCCTGGAAATTGTCAACCTGCTCAAGGATGACCTCCACCCTAGCTTTCCAGAAGTTTCCTTCTTCTACAGCGAAGAGAACAAGGCTCCTGAGAGCGAGGAGCTGGAGATGGAGTTCGAGGACATGGAGAATGTCCCGTTGGATGGGTCCTCTCACTTTCACAGGGAAGAGGCTGGGGGCCGGGAGGGAGGGTCCTCTCTGAGCATTAAACGGACCTATGACGAACACATCCCATACACCCACATGAACGGGGGCAAGAAGAATGGGCGCGTGCTCACACTACCCAGGTCCAACCCTTCCTAACAGTGCCTGTCGGGGAAGGATTCTTTCTTTTTTAAAACTCTTCTATAGTTTGACCGCCTCCAGGAAACTCAGGATTATCAGGACTCCATCCAGATGTGAAACTGAGCTCAGAGATAGTTCATACACGTTTCTGTTTGTCTGTTGACCTAAGTATACAGGTGTGATTGCCAACTCCACAGGCCTGTGGAGGGCTAACTGTGAACCTAGAGGGGTTTGGCTTTCCACGGCCACACCCCCTCCCCCATCCAGGTTTCAAACCAGGATTTTATTATTGTTGTTGCTACTTTCCTCATAGACTGAGATAATGCACCTGTTTGTACAGGGATTTTTCTTTTCTTGCTAGTGTCTGAGTTACAGTTAGTTGTGAAAGACAGAGTTTATTTATGGAGCACAAGTCAGTAAGCAAAGGGGAGACAGACAGAAAAACAAACAAACAAACACCCAACCCACAGAACCCTGTTCTAGAATTATGTGCTTTGCAGGGTTGGGTTTGAAAAGGTTTCGTTAATCTGAGAGAAGGATTTTATTTTATTTTAGAATTTTTTTTTCTCTCATTTACAAAATCAGTTCCTCAAATTGACCAATAGCTGCTGCTTTTGTATTTTATTTTGAGAAAGGGTGTGTAGTACTTAGAGTGGACTCATGTTCACACCTGTGTTTGCTTGTGTGTGTGTTGTGTCCAGGCTAGAGATCACAGGGTGGGGTGGGGGTTGTGTGTGTGTAAAATAGTATCTGGACTGATGCTTGGGGAATTGGCTCATGAAGCTCCTGCCGCTTGGAGTGGGTGACCCCTCCTTTTTTCTTCCTTCTCACTAACTCAGCATCTGTTTGTGTCCTCCAGAGATGCTCCTCAGTCATGTCAGAAGTCTTGCTCAGGTGTCTTCTTTCCCTCCCTTTGACAATGTTTTCTGAAAACTGAGGGAGGACCGTTTGGTCTGGATTCATCAAGAGTGTTTGGAAGACCAAACAAAGCCAAGGACACACAGACACACACATATACACACACCATGGAAGTAGAAAGAAGTCAGATGACAATTATGAGACTATATATGTAACATATTTAATGTTTAAGGAATCTCTGGCATGAGCCTAATAAATTATTGTTTCCTTGGGGGCAGGAGAAATAGTGGGCACACCTGCCTCTGTGGGGAGACAGGAAATGCAGGAGTGGCCTCTGTGTTTGGTCTTCAAAGCACACATTTCTTCTGGGAATTATACCACATTAGCTGCTAGCCCTTCAGGACACAGTGAGGTCTTGCAGAGTATATGGGAAACTGGATTTTTTTTGACTGGTTCTGCTAGCAAGATGGACTGGATGTTTCTTGCTTGGTGGTTATCTGGAGTTGAGCTGGCCTTCCAGAGCACCTGTGTTCATCTTTGGGTTTTTTTTGCTTGTGTACCTCACCTCTCCAAGGCCTACATGTTGCTCAATCATTGTATAAACATGCAAACTCATCCCAAAGACCAACGACACAGATGGACTTTGAGAACACTAAGCAATATATAAGGAGATGCATCCTTGGGATGGCTGTTGGTTTCCTCCACCCTTGGGGCATCAGCTATTCTCCACACTAAACCCCACAGCTGCTCTTGGTGCCCAGGGACCTCAGCTCGGGCCGGTGTGGTGCCTGAGTCTATTTCTCAGGTGCTTATGTTGCAGTCCCTGGAGACTATAGTCTGGAGGAGACAACATCAGACTTTCTTCCCATCGCCAAGAACTTGTGAAAGATTGTGAACCCACAGCTTCTTCTTGTTGCATAAAGCCACAGCTGCTCAAGTAAAAGAAGCAAACAACCATGGTGAACTCATGAATCGGGGCTCAAAATCCTCCCACACATTCTTCCCTGCGTGCATTTCCCCACAAATATTTGATACCTTTCTTCTCCTCTAGGAGATGTGAGATGAAGACACAATGTCCACCCCAAAATCCTCTTAAATATTGGTTGAAAACCTAAGTAGGCACAAATTCTGATTGCCAGTTGCTGTCAAATTTATATTAGAAAAGTGACAGATGTAAAAATGTTACCAGGGAACTCAGTGACTGGTACAAGAAGCCAGAGTCACAGTCGTTTTCACCCAAATCACTTTGTAAATAGAGGGTCTGTGTATCAATGGAAGACATGTAGGTCTGATATTTGTTGTTTATTTTTCCTCTTTACAGTAAATTTGTAGTGGTCAGATGCTACACTAGCAGGAATTTCCACATTTTTCTAATTCAAAAGGTTTTCTTATATTACTGGGGAAAGTATTTATTTTAATATATAAAATCACTCTTGAAAATCACTTTTGTAAAAAAAAAATGGTGTGCATGTAATTTTTTTTTTTTTATCAAGGAAAAAAATAAAACCAGGTGAGTGTGGGCCATGCTTTTATTTCTCTCAGCACAGTCTACCTCAGTGTCTTGTTAGGATGAGGTTCAGACACAGGCGTCCAGGCTTTGGAATTCTGGCTGGATTGCACTCTGAGTTGGGGGAGCTGTGTACCTGTTGATTTCTGAATGCCAGGGACTAGGAGAGGTTTTGAGGGATGGAGTTGGGGTGAAGTTAGAGCCTTCCTGTGAACCCAGATTCTTCTCTTCACTGATATCCTTCTGAGTCTAACCTCCTTTGTTGATGCACACTCCTCACACATAAGCCAGGCTTCAGTCTATCTCAGTTTAGCCTCTCTGTGAGGCCCCTCACCCAAGGTCTTTGGGTGAGAGGTGATGAGGCTGTGGACCAGTACCTGCAGCTGTCACATGAAAACCCCCAGACATGAATGCAAAGGCACTCTGTTTCTCTGACCATTGTTTCTCCTAATCCTTTTCAGACCTATGAGGGCTTTGGGTGTTTATGGTCACCTTCTACACAAATAGGATGAAGGCATTTGCAGCAAGTGCTAATCTCTTGAACATAACTTAAGCAATAAGTAGGAACCCTATGCTGGGATTTGGTTGACTCCAAGCTGACACTGTTTGGCCTTGTGCAATTTTGAGCACTCTGGAAGTCAAGGCAGGGCCATCATGGCCCCTGTTTTCAAGTTTCACTGTCCTCTTTTCACTTTGAGATATTGTCCTTGGTAATTCACTCTTCCCCGTCTCCTCTGGAGAGGTGTACCAACTTGGGATGGCCCTATCAGAAAGGACTTCACTAATTCCATCTTGATATCTACTGTTGCTGGGGAGGAAACAAGTAGCCATAGGGCCATAGGACTCATTTTGGCTTCAGAAGATAGCGTTCTAAGAAAAGAACCTTGGTACTTAGAATATCATGGCTGTCAGGAGAGTTTATAGTGATAGATGAGAGAGAAAAAGCAACAAAACCAGGTTCATTGATGCTTTTTGAATGTTTTGGAAGATGTCTCATTATTTTAAAACTCTTTTTATGATCGTGGGGAAAGCTACAGTCATTTCTTCCAGGATAGGAGCAGGCATGTTTTCTGTCTGCTTCAATGACGGCAAGCACACACCAGGAAGTGTTTATGCTCTTGGAGCCTTCTGGATGTTTCCCTTTCGTTTGAAGCTAATGGGAAGAGCATTAATGGTTTCCTGGATTTAGGCTGAGCACATTTTGGGAGAATGTGGAGACTGGTGGCAAGAGCTGCATATGGCTATTGGGGATGGTGTCACCAACACAAGCACAGGTCACCTTTGTTATCTTACCAGGACAGATAGTCTACCATGCAGAATCATTATCGGGTTAAGTGCTGTAAATTTATTTGAAGTCCACCATAGCGCTGACCAAAGGGCAGTAAGTATCACTGTGCAAGTCTGGTTCATACTGGCAATCTTGGTAAATGAGTGGCTGTCATTCTAGCAATGATTTTCCTATTTCATGACAGGTGGATATGTTCAGGATGCTAGCTGGTGAACATAGACTCTTCAAAAATTATGGTTTTGTTGGACAAGGGGAAAGAAAAATGCCGATTTTGTGTAAATGGTACACATAGGGTAGAGCCATTACAGAAAAACCTTTCAGAATGTTCCTCAGAATATGAATTTACACAAGAGATGAAGTTGGAGAATAGGAATAGCAGATTATCACTTGCTGCTTAAACTACACAAAATATGGCCTTTTAAGAGGCCATGACTGAGGCATATTTATTCTTTGGTGGTTCCTAAGAGATGGAGATCAGTTAGTATTTTAGCTTACTTGATAACAATCAAGGTCCAGAATCAGTCTCTGGTCAAATTTTTATCTTCATGTGGGCCATTAAGAAACACACACACACACACACACACACACACACACACACACACAAAATAGAACTTGTTAAAAACCAGATCATGGACCTGGGACTCTTATCATTTGAGAAGGAAGGAAGGGTCCTCAAATGTATGTGTGTGTATGTGTGTCCTTGCACATGTCCAGGAATGGCTTGTTTGGTTTTTATCCTTTGTATCAAAGTTGCTGCTCCTTGTCCCTTTATGTGCCTAGGTGGCTACACCCTGAATGTCGGCAGTGTGGGATCAAATGTGCCACACTGCTGTAGAAAACTCAGAAACACAAAACCCACCCCAAACACAGTGATGTTTCCCTACCAAGGCCAGGTAGCATCATGTACAGAATATGCCTTTTTTTTTATGTGAGGGGAGGGACTGAAATTGTTCTGCATGTACAATACAGGCTAATTACTTGTTTATATTAAAATCTGGAATAAATTATCAGAGACTGTTTTTTTATGTGGTATGCAGGTTGATCTGGGTGGGGCTGTGGCTTTGAGATTTTCTGCATTAAGTGACAACCTGGGAAACTGTGAGTTCTTTGTGTGTGAATGTTCATGTGTGCAAGTGCAAGCATGTGTCCAAAGGACAGTTTCAGATATTGTCTCTCAGGTGCTGTCCACCATTATTTTTGAGACAGGGTTTCTCATAGCTGACCAACCAGTGAACTCTGGTGATCTACCTATTTCTGCCTCTTTAGCACATGCCAGTGTGGCTGCCTTAAAAAAATATTGGTTTTTGGGTTTAAACATTTAAAAGGGGCTAATAAGTGCTTACAGCCACACTATAATGCAAAATGCATTTAGTTCAACTTAAAAGGTCCCCATAGCCTTCTACAGTGTCAAGCCTCCTTAGAAGTCAGCCAAGCCTCTTCCGGGACTCATGACAATCTCATCCCTCTAACCCCCTGTAAAATCAAAAGCAAAGAGCAAATCAACTACTTTCAGTATACAACAGCACAGGATATACATTACCATTCCAGAAAAGGAGGAAAGGGAGGTTACTGAGAAAATACTGGACCAAAGCAAGACCAAAACCCAGCTGGGCAAACAACAAGCTCTGCGCCTTCGTGTCTGATGTCAAAGCGCTCTTCAGATCTTCAACTCCTTTCAGCTTTGCTTACTGCAACCCACTTCTCTCCCTTGGGCTGGTCCCACTTCCACCCTGAAGCTTTCCTGGGCAGGTATCTCATGACTCTGACATCTCCAAAATCTTGGCGTCTCCAATGCAATCCACACACCTGGCTTCAGCAGCTTTTCTTAGATGTCAAGGGAGATTCCATAACTCCTTTCTTTTATTCTTTCTTGCTCTTAAAGCCAGAATCATGTGGCTGAATCTGCTAAGTTCTGCTGATTTCTGGGGCTGGAACTTGGCCCCCTCCTTCAGTTTTGTCTTCACCAGCTTTCTGTTGTTCATGGTTTCCTCCACTGTATTGCTTTTACTTTCTTTTCACAAGTTGGGAGCTTGTCTTTCTAGGCTCTTGCTCTCAGACCACCACTCCCTTTACTCCATTCATCATCAGGCTTTTCTTTAAACTTTTTATATCCCTGAGCACCAAACTTGGCTTCAGTGTTACATTTCCTGGTATTCTTAACTCCTCAAACTATGTATTTGTATTTTTCTTTTCTCAGCTTGCTCCTTTTCGTTATAGATCTGATTAAGACTGGTCACTAATACCCACACAAATGCAGTCTTGCAAAACCAATACAGGCTGTCTTGAAATCTCTGCCAAGGCCAGTAATTCAAAAGTCTTTAATTTAGCTTCAGACACATTTTTAGGACAAGGGGCAAAAGAAGCCACATTCTTTGTCAAAACATCACAAGAATGGTCTCTATGCCACTTATCCCCCTGAAACTTTTTTGAGCTGGGCTTCCACACTTTAAATCACCCTGAGCACTGTCTTCCATGCTCCCACTAGGATGACTCATTAAGCCTTTACTTGTTGACTTGTTGAGCCGTTTTGCCCAGTACATTTTTTTTTTTCCCTGAGATGAAGCTCTCTCTGTTTTTCAGGCTGGTCTTGAGTTTCTGGTATCAAGAAATTCTCTTGCTTCAGTATTCTAAGTAGCTCAGATTGAAAGACACATTCTACCATGCCTGGTTTTCTCAACAGCTTTTGGTGTGAGTGTGTGTGTGTGTGTGTGTGTGTGTGTGTGTGTGAGTGTGTGTGTGTGTGTGTGTGTGTCTGTGTGTGCATGAGTGTGTTCCACACAGCATATGTGAAGTCAGAGCAATCTTGCGAGAGTGTGCTCTCCTTCCTTCTACCTTGCTGGGGAAGACTGTTGTGTTCCTGTTGAGCTTTCTGAAGTCCTCCATGATAGCTGGCCAGCAGCAGCTCTCCTGTAATGGCCTCTCATCTCCCCACAGGAGTGCTGGAATTACAGATGTGTGTTACTACATCTGGATGGCTGAAGCTTGGGTGGTTAAGCGTGTGCAATGATCACATTTATTGGCTGAGTCATGTCACCAGCCCCTCAATAGCTTTTAGAATGTTTGTAGGTGTGTCCAATTTTTCACCATCTTTCTTTGGTACAGGGGTTTTCTTTGTATCTCTGGCTGGCCTGGAACTTGCTATGTAGGCCAGGCTGGCCTGGAACTCACAGAGATATTCCTGCCTCTGCCTCCCAAGTTCTGAGATTAAAAATCATATACCATCATGCCTGTCCCCAATTTTTCTTTGGAAAAAGTTAGATATTTGTTGTTTTCAATTTTCTTTTAAGAGTTGACTTTTGTTTTTGTGCATCTCCTCTATTATGGAATTGAAGTGGGGTCTAAGATTATCTTTAAAGACAAGGCCATCCTCCTGCTTCCATCTCAGGAGTCCTGGGGTTGCAGTTATGCTCTAGCAAACATAGTCTGTGACTTGCTGGGGCTGAAGCCCAGGGCTTCCTGCACAGCCATCACTCTCCATCACAGCCTATGTCATGTTGCTTTGGTCCCTCTGCTACTCACTTTGGATGCAGAGAATGACTGTGTTTATAGCCTCTTTCCCCAAGCTTTCAGTATGCATATTCACAGTACATGGCACTATGTATAATTTCTTTTTCTTTTTTGCACTCCCCATCCCTGCCCCAGGCACTGAGGATAGAATCCCCAAGTGCGTTACCACTGACCTGCAACCCTACCTTCTGTGCATAATTAAAAATTATTTCTTTATTTTAAAGATTTATGTTTAAATTATGTGTACCTATGTCTGTGTCTGATTATCTATGTGTGAGGACACATGTTCTTAGATACAGAAGATGGGTGTGAGAGTCCCTGGAGCTAGAGTTACACCTGGTCCTGTGTCACCTGATATGGGTGCTACAAACTGAACCTAGGTTCTTTGGGAGAATAGCAAGTGAGTCTTCTCTCCAGCTTCAATTTCATACATACATACATACATACATACATATGTATATATATTTTCCATATGATATATTCTGATTAAAGAGGATTTACTTTCACCATGTGTCTATGTGTCTGTGCATATGTCTTCAGGTACCCACAGAGGCCAGAGTGTTGGCTTCCTGGGAACTGGAGTTACAGGCAGTAGTCGGGCACCCTGTGGGTGCTGGGAACTTCAGCTTACTGGAACAGCATCAGGTGCTAGTAACCATTAATCTCCAGGTCCCTGCTAATACATTTCTTCAAAACCATGTTATTAGATTTATGTATGATTGAGCACCAGATGTACATACCACATGTATATGTGGAGGTCAGAGAACAATTTACAGGAGTCAGCTGTCTTCTAACACATGGGGCCCAGGGATCAAACCAGACAGTCTTGTTAGCAAGTATCTTTGTCTGCTGCCAAGCATCTCTGAATTCTGTTGGTGATAGACTGTGATATGGAAGTAGAAACCAAAACCCATTTCCTCCCCAAGTTTTTTTCTGGTCATGGCGTTTCTCAAGATGGCCAGGGTGCCATCTTGGCTCAACTTTAATTTATGTTTGCCTAGACTCTTTCCCTTCCACCCTGCAACAGCCACAGGTGCCTTGACAATGCTTTTGGAACTGTTCATGGCCCTGATCATGGTCCAGGAATATTAGCCAAAATAATTTGTTTTTGTCCAAGCTTAAATGTAAAACCAAAATAATTAACTAGAAGTGTAAATAAAAAATCATTGTCAAGTAGTGTTTGAAAATACTGCCAAGCTGTGTGGGGATGTCCCTCTGTATATGTTTCTTTTATTGGTTGATGAATAAAACACTGTTTGGTCAAAAGAGGCGTGGGTCATTTCTTTTGGATAATCCCATTGAGATCCACCAGCTTCCAGAGAACTCAGCTTCACTCCTGGCCTATGATGGCCAGGGAGAGGACACAGGAGAGGCTCCCCTCACAGAGTCCAGAGGGGTCTGGAGGGACCACTGCTTTCCCAAATACCAAAATAGAGAGAGTCCTTCCTACTAATCTAGGCGGTAGATTTGTATAGGAAATTCAGTTCTGGCTAACAAGGGAAAGGCCCGCTTTAGGGAGCCTCATTGATTTCAGAAAGGATTGGCTCATTTTAGGAGCTCTCTTCCAGGTTTGGGAAGAAAAAGAAATCTGACAATAAATTCTTCCCCAGTCTTTCCAAGCTTAATTAGGACGCCTCATCTCTGTATTCACAGCATCCTGCCTCATGAGAGATCTAGCTTTGGTTTTGCTTGAATGGATGGCTGGCCAACTGTGTGAGCAATTGAATGTATGGCGGGCAAATGTGGCCCATGGAACTGATTATTTGATTCCTTGATCTTGTTGCTGGTGTTTCTGTTTTGTCTTGTCCCTCTAAGAGGGAGCTGGACTGCTCTCAATCTGATTGACAGAGATTCCACCAGTATCTCCGGATTCTACCACGAGGGGCACCCTCTACACAGTATTGTTTGCTCTGTTTTGCATTTTTGTCTGCAAAAGTACGGTCCCCTTTGCTCTCACAGATGAGAAATTTCCAGTCATATCAGTCCATTTTTGTAGCCACCCTCAACCCTCCATGCCCCAGTCTCAGATAATCACTTGCTCCCACGAAGCTGTGTGAGGTAGAGATGGTCTTCAGCTGTTTTTTTTTTTTTTTTTTTTTCTGGGTTGGTCACATTTATTAATTGTCTATTTTGTTGAGTCATAAAATTTCTTCTAACGTGGGATCACCAACTCTAAACTTTCACTGTAAGGATTCAGGCATTATGCTGGCCTGCCTCCATCACCTGACAGAATGCACTCAGGTAGTACCCTGGTCAGCTCAGGGTTCCACAATTACTAATGTGGACACAGGTGCAAAGGACCCCTTTACAAGATGGACCCCTGCCCACTTACGCTCTCTACCTGCTCTCTCTTTCCTATTCTCTTTCCTGCTGTTTCCTGGGAGCAGGCAGGACTTTTCCTGCCTCCTTCTTTTCTTCTGTCCTTTCTGTGTCTCTGTGTCTCTTTACCTTATTTTCTTACCTATCCATCAATAAAACTTTCAATATGAGTCACATCTACAGGTCTCTGTGTTGTTCCCAAATTCTGAACCCCCAAGTCGCACAGAGACCCTATCTGATGGAAAAGCAAAGAGTCTTTAACAATTAACATTGTCATCAGTAAAAGCATCTTCCCCTCAGCCATTAGCTTTACAAAGGGGAAGATATTACTTTAATTCTGAAAGGCAAACTGCATCTTTTAGTCTCGAATTCTCCTAAAACCACTTTCATATCTTAAAGATGCTCTTAATCCCAAAGATGTGAGGAGAAAGACCACTGACCATTAGCCCCAGCCAGCCTCCATCATCAGGCACCAAATGCAACATACATGCCCTTTACATGTCCTCTCTATCACAGGTCACTGCCCTTCTCTGTCTGTCTGTCTTGTCTCTACTTCAAGACAGCCTTAACTCCCGCACCCAATAAATCTCTGTGTGAGATCTATTGTGTGCTGTGATCTCTGCAGCATTCCTTGGCTCTGCTCCTCCAAGGTACTCCACAGCATAAACCTCACATTAGTGCCAATGTCATGCTAGAATACCCTGGTGCCTGCACACCCCCCACTGGAGGTCTAGGTCACACTGGGACCCTATCCCTTATCTCCAGTCCACCTGAAACAGATCTGTCTTCTGACTCAACAATCACTGGACATCGTCCAGCAGCTACAACAGGTAAGTTTTCCCTTTGATCTTAAACGCCTCTCTGAATAGGATGGAGTGTTCAAGGGAGTGGCTGTTGAGTGTTCAGCATCCCTCTGGTATTCTTGGAGGCAGAGGTGTGCAAAGCTGCCACCTTATACAGTTGACTCTCTTCCCTGACCCCACCTCTGACCATTACCCTTGGGTGAGGCTCCACTTTCTGAGCTCGGCTTTAGCCTTTAGGCTTTATTTGAAAGTTCTGGTACCAGGTGCCATGTCATAGGCTTTTTAGTTCTGCCTGATGCCCAACCAATGAAATGATGATCCAGTGAATGGCTTGTGCCTTCCTCTTTTGCTCCTTTTGCATATTTGAAGGAATGGTATAGTTGACTCATGTGGTAGATTTATTTTTAACTTTTTGAGAATTCTCCACACTGATTTATGGAATAGCCGGACCTATTTTCAAATCCCTTTCCCCAGAGAATGAGTTATTTGGCTGTCCCACAGAAGAATATCACTTTTCAAGCAACACCCTGTTATAATATATATAAATGTTTTATATATATATATATATATATATATATATACATATATATATATATATGACTGAGAGAAAAAAATTAGTTCATGTATTATTTATCTTAGTACTATCATGTAATCAAATTCTGAATATTTCTATTGGCCACAAATTTATAGATAACATGCATAACTTAGTAAATTGCATTTTTAGTAGTAGCTACTAATCTGAAATAGATTGTATGTGAGATACAGAGAGGTACTCTTTCCTTTTTCTTTAAATATATATTTCAGAAAAACTATGAAAAGTAGATAATTTTATTTCATTATACTAATGGATTTTTACGAGAGAGACTTAGTTAATTCATGAAAATTATCAGTTTTGTTTTAGATTATGATTTGTTCTTAAAACATTTCAAAGAGTTCTTATCAGGTCTTAGAAGAATTATGTAGCATTTTGGGAAAAAGATGCACCCTAGCAGCCCTGCACTTGAGGACAAGATGGAGAAGACCTCCACAGCCACCATAGCTTTGTCCTTGGTGCTGTGGTAGACAGGGAGGAAGGTGACCCAGACACTGCAGAACACCAGCATGCTGAATGTCAGCAACTTGGCTTCATTGAATGTGTCAGGCAGATCCCTACCCAGGAAAGCCACAGTGAAGCTCCCCAGGGCCAGGATCCCCAAGTATGCCAGCACACAGTAGAAAGAGGTGACTGAGCCCTTGTTGCACAAAATAATGATGTAACTATATGCAGAGTGTGCACCTGCTTCAACATAGGGAGGTGAGGTTCCCATCCAGACTCCCAGGAGAGTAAGCTGGATCAGGACACACAAGGGGATGACAGAGTTATAGATGCCAGAGACAAACAGTCTTCTCATTGTTCTCCCTGGTTTTACGAGGCTAAAGGCCAGAATTACAGTTATACTTTTGGCCAAAACAGTGGAAAGAGTCAGAGTGAATGTGAGTGCAAATGTGATTGGTTGCAATATGCAGGAGGCTGTGCTTGGCTGGCCAATGAAGAGAAAGGAGCACAGGAAGCAGAGGAGGAGGGAGATGAGCAGGATGAAGCTGAGAGTCCTGTTATTGGCCTTAACGATGGGTGAGTCTTGATGCTTGAGGAAGATCCCCAAAACTACAGCTGTGCTGACAGAGAAGCACAGAGCTGTGCAGACCAGAGTCATGCCCAGAGAATCCTCCAAGGACAGGAATGTCACTGACTTGGGAAGGCAGTTGTTTCTCTCAGGGTTTGGGTACTCTTGAATTGGGCAAGGGATACACTCTTGCTGATCTATGGGAGAAAAGGAACCAACATTTCAGCTTCTACAGTTATTTATCCATTCCATATTCAATACGTTAAGAGTGCTCTCCACTGATGAGTGTAGCCTGGCACATTCTGCTTTACTATAGGGCAAAGGAAACCGACTCTTTAGAAATCCTCCTTCTACAACGCCCAAATTCCCAAATACTGTCTATAAATATTTGTTTTCATTTAAATGGACTTTGTTATATAAAATACATTTTAAAAAATTAAAAAAAGAAATCCTCCTTCTACTATCTGTCATGTGTACATCATGATAAAACATGTGATGATGTGTTTATAAATGAAACTGACATATTAATCTACCTATTCAGATGAAGCAAAACTGCAATAATTCTATGAAGAATTCTAAAATTCAGCCATTCCACTGTGATCAGACTCCAGATATTCAGGTAAAAAACAATCCAGTAAGAAGAACAGAGTGCCCTGCTACACCCAAATACAAGCTAATTTCCAGAAGGCCAACTCCAAACTTGGACAAAGACTCCAAACTAGATCACATGTCATGCCAGTTGCCAGAAGAAATACAAGTCACAAAGAGGTCAGAACTACCGAGGAAAAAGGAGCTAAGGAACATTCAAGAGAGAGAAACTCAAAATTTAGGGACTAGAATAAACCATCCCAAACCCAGATACCTAAATTTTATTGTAAAAATACAGTCAACATCAGCCAGAACAACATGACCACTTACAAGCCCATGCATCCTGTGACAGCAATACCTGAATATTCCAACATATCCAAAACAAACAAAACCTTAAAACACATTTATGGATGTTATTAAAAAGCAAATAAAAACTCAGTTAAAGGAATCAAGGAAAGCCCACCCTGCCAGACCATCTGGAGCCTGCCCTCATCTCAATCATGGACCCCCTATGCTCTCTGCTTGAGGTGAGTCTGGGGCCAGCTCAGGTCCAACCCCCCTCCATCCTTTCTTTGGCACTTCCTGGGCTGGCTCTGCATCTTGACCCCCCCCCCATGCACTCTGCTAGAGGTGAGTGTTTGGCCAGCTCATGTCCACCATCCCCTACCCTCTCCTTGGAACTTCCTGGGTCACATCTGCACATAGTGGATGCACCTGCCCCACCCGACCATCCAGAGCCTGTCCTCACCTCAATCTTAGACCCCCCCACACCTTCTTCTTGAGACCTTCAAGAGTGTTCAGACCATCCAGAGTTACTGACATTGAAGGACTGACCCACCTACACCCACTGGGAGAGGAGAGGAGAGATGAAGAGAGAGAGAGAGAGAGAGAGAGATCCCATGTGACCCACTGGAAGAAGGGATGGGAAGACAGCAATATAAGAACACATTCAACATTAGAAGGACCAATATGACACCACCAGAATCTAGGGACTCTACACCAACAAGACCTGAACATACCAACGCAGATGAAGCCAAAGAAAACAACTTCATGAAAATGATAGAGGCCATCAAAGAAGATATGAGAAAATCCCTTAAAGAAATGGAAGAAAAACAAACAAAAATTGGAAGAAATAGAGAAAAAGACAAACCAAAAAATAAAAAAGTGCAAGAAATCAACAAATCTTTTAAAGAAAGCAAGGAAAGCCAAGAAAAACAAAACAAAACAAAACAAAAAAGACAATCAAACAGATGAAGGAAACAATTCAAACAGTTCAAGTCCTGAAAACTGAAATAGAGACAATAAAGAAAACACAAACTGAGTGAATGCTGGAAATAAAAATTGGGTAAATGATCAGGAACTACAGATGCAATCATAAGCAACAGAATATAAGAGATGGAAGAGAGAATCTCAGGTGCTGAAGATAAACTAGAGGAACTTTGGGTGACTGTTCAGGCAGCAAGGCATCTCTGTCAACTATTGAGTCAACTCCTTTGAAGGAGTTGAAGATAGATAGTTATGGCTGTGGCTTTCTTTAGATATAATAAAAGATAAGATAGAATATATGATAGAATATTTTCTTTAAATTTCCAAAATATTAATGGATTAAATACTGTTAACTCTAGTTCTTGCTTGATAACTATTTTATATAATTTTACTATGTTAATGCTAAAAAACTTCCTTTTTATTTATACAGAAAAAGAAGATGATGGAAGATGTCCTTCTATATGCTGTGAATATATGTTTCTCTTATTGGTTGATGAATAAATCAGTTTTGGCCAATGGACAGGCAGGATGTAGCCAGGCAACAAGTACAGGCAAGGCTACCAGACTAGGAGAATTCTGGGAAGAGAAACACAGAGTGTGAGTTTCAGGTCAGACACTATGTAGCTACCAGGAAGGTAGGGCTCCCATACATTCTCCAGTAAGCCAAGGCCATGTGGAGATAGATACACAGATTCATAGTTATGCGTTAATAATTTAAAGAGCACTAGACAATAAGAAGCCTGAGCCATCCCATAGGCCAAACAGTTTATAATTGATATAAGCCTCTGTGTGTTTATTTGGGACTAAATGGCTCCGGGAACATGAAGGACAGAAACTTCCATCTACATTGACATATAATCAAAACACTGAATCTACAGTACAAAGAAAAACTCTGAAAAGCCAGAAGGGAAAAGACCCCAGCAATATATAATGGCCAACATATAAGAATTATACTCAACTTCTCAACAGAGACTCAACAGAGACTCATGAAGGGCATGAACAGATGTCTTATAGGCTCTAAATGACCACAGATACCAGCACAGACTAATATGCCCTTAAATTTTCAATCACCATAGATGGAGAAAACAAGTTATTAAATGACAAAATCAAATTTAAACAATATCTATCCACAAATCCAACCCTTCATAAGGTACTAGAAGGAAAACTCCAACTTAGGAAGCTAAAGACACCCTTAAAAACCACAAGCAATACATAATCTCACAACAGCAATATCCAAAGAAGGGAAAACACACACACACACACACACACACACACACACACACACACACACACACACACAAATACTACTACTACCAGGAGCAGCATAATAAAAGGAATTAGTAATCACTGGTCATTAATATCTGTAAATGTCAATGGAGTCAATCCCCCAATAAAAACACATAGGCTAACAGAATGGATACAAAACAGGATCCATCCTTCTGTTGCATACAAGAAACACACTTCAACATCAAAGATAGATTTACCCCATAGTAAGGATTAGAAAAAGATTTTCCAAACAAAAGGACCTAAGAAGCCAGGTAGCAGAATAGTCTTCAATCCAAAGTTAAACAAATGAATCGGAGAAGGACATTTCATATCTATTAAAGGAAAAGATAAAACAATAAAACTACAAAATAATAAAAGTCATTTTATTGCTACATTCCTTTAGCATAGTAATATTCCATTTTCCCTGAGGCCCATGACCTATCTAATGTCAGGCTCTTGGCCCCATTATCAGTGTCAGATATGGGTTCAATCTGACTAGAACCTTAGGTCTAGTCAGTAAGTGGTGGGTTCCAACAATAGCACTTGTGACACCTTCACTTGTCTCTCTCCCAGGCAGGTCACTGCTATAGGTCACAGAGTTTGGCTTTGGGAGATATTGATGATTGCCATTCTCTTTCAGTAGCTTGCAAAGGAACTTCCAGTACCATAAATGCTAATCATTAAGTGAAGCCTCCAGTTAGGTACCAGCTTGGTTTCTATATGTTTGATGACCTATGTAAATGTCTTCAGCAGTAGGACCTTAGAGCAGGCCGTGGAGAGCAATGATAGCTCTTGGCCCTTGTATGGCCAAAAACTCATCCAAGACACTGGGGGTTCTTCTTAAGGGCATAATTTGGGGAACAGTGTCCCATAATATTTGTTGAATTTATTTAATTTCATTCACATTTCTTGTATTTTTAAGAAGTGTACATAGTAGTAGGATTCCACAATTCCCTTCAAATGACTGTTAGTGTTAGTTTTCCCACTTCAAAGTTCCTTCTTTCCCACCCTCTTCAATCCTCCTGTCCATTTAATCCCTCTATATCTCTCCATAAAGATATATTCTATCAGCTATACCTTGGGAGATCCTCTCCTTGTAAGGATTCAGGCATTATGCTGGCCTGCCCCTGAGTTTATATATCTGGTAAGGGACTAGTGGTGAGGAGTATTATGATAAAGCATGTGGGGCTCTTGATAGATTCCATGCAGGTGAGGGTGACCCAGGCAGAGGGACAAAATGCCAGACAGAGAGATCTTAGTAACAAGTTTTATTAGAAAGGGAAAGGGGGTGAAGGAAAGAGAAAAGAGGTAATGAGACACAGAGACAGAGGACAGGAAGGAAGAAGGAGGCAGGAAAATTCCTGTATGCCTTAGGGGAACAGCAATAAAGAGAGCTGAAAGAGAAAGTGGGCGGGTCTTATTTTACAGGGGTCCTTTGAGCCTCCATGCAAACTAAAGTCATAACCCTCTTCACCATTAGTCCCTTACCAGGCACATAACCACAGTGGTTGTTCAGATCGTAGCACCCATATCAAAGGCTTTGTGGCTAATCTCCCACATTTGTGTTTGGAGGAATAGGCTACCTCAAGATTTTTCTAGCACCATCCATTTACTTGAGACATTTATGATTTTATTTTTCAACAGCTAAACAATGTTCCACTGTAAAAATTAACCAATATGCATTATTCATTATCCATTGCTTGATATTTAAGCTGTTTATAGTTTCTGTTATTCAGAGTAAAGTAGCAGTGAACATGGTTGAGCAAGTGTTTCTGTTAGCAGGATGCAGAGTCCTTCTGACATAACTCAAGAGTTGTGTAGCTGGATCTTGAGGTAAATCTATTCTCAGCTCTTTGAGGAACTGGCACAGCGATTTCCATAGTGGCTGTACAAGCTTGTACTTCCACCAGCAATGAATAAATGTTCCCATTCCCAACATGTTTGTCAGGAAGTACTGCCATGTGTTTTATTGACTTTGCCATTCTGACTGGTGTAAGATTAAACTTCTAAGTAGTTTTGATTTGCATTTCCTGGTGGCTAAAGATGTTGAACAACTTTTGAGTGTTTCCTAGTCAAT